ATAATGTAAAATGAGAATCTAAAGATCTTTTAGTGAGCAAAATGTCATCCAACCTTATTTTTTGGAGTGCTCTAAATTATTATTTTTGTAATACAAGTTAAAGAAGAACATCGTGTTGGACGTGGCTCGATCCGTTGCGAAGGAGAGACAGGGAGGCCAAGGTCTGTTGCTATTGAGGGGAACCCTCAATGAAATGGTCATGGGTGGGACCCAATGAAATGGTAATGGGTGGGCTATTCCCACCCTTAAAAATATCTAATATCATCCCAATAAAATTTTTATAATTAAATTACTAAGCCCATCATTTTTATACTCACTCTGTTTTAACTAAACTCACCTCATGCTATACACACCTCTTTAATAGCAAGTTCATCTTTCATCTTCTCAAAACTAGGGTTTTATTCACTACTTCCTCTCATACAACTCACACGAAAAAGCTTTTTTAATATAGATTTCTTTAGTAAGATACATGTTAGAATTACTTCTCAGTTTAATTTCAGGTGTACTATGTGGATTTAGAGTTTATATGTGCGTGTATATATAATATTGTTGCTTTGACAGTGTGTGTCCATTCAAATAGAAGTTAATATTATTGCCCCCACACTATAGGAACACAAGTTGTTGCTCCTCATGTTAATTTAGTGAAGGTTACTTTTGACAGACGTTAGAATAGGCTTGTATAATGTACAGATATAGAAAGTGATTTACTCATCTTACTTATCAATTCACATTAAAAAAAATTATTTCGTGTAGTGTGTATGAAAGGAGATGGTGAATGAAACCCTAGTTATGAAAAGATAGAATGTGAGTTTATTATTAAAGGGGTGTATATAGTATGGGATGAATTTAGTTAAAATGGGGTGAAAATAGAATGAGTAAGTTTAGTAGTTTGATAATAAAAATTTTAATAAGGTGGGATTAGATATTTGTACGATGGGAATAACCCCATCCAAAAGTCATTCATGCACTATTTGAACACAAGCCCATTGGACCATAAAAGTGAAATGAATAGAAGGCCCACTGGGCCTGGATAGCAATCCAGAATGTAAGACTCCTATGGCCCTGTTTTTGATATTATAGAGTGCTATTTGGGAAAAAGAAAATGAAAAGGAAGATTTTTTTTTTTTAGTTAAATTAATTGAAAAACGTTAAGCCTTGCATAAACTCAAAATAGGGAAGAAGTGCTATCTTTCTTTATAAAAAATTCACTGAAAGTATTATTAAATTTTCTCAATAATAATTTAGTCATTTTTGTGACTAAGTTATGCTAGTACTATAAAATATTGTCACACATTATTATGAGATTTTGAGCAATGTTATTGGGATCTAATTTGTTGGCCTAATTTATTATGATCATTAGATTGACTATGAGCTCCATCAAACATTGAAATTTGATGTTAATCCAATGAAGTCACACATAGGTCATGAAATTATGTCAAATTTTTAGGTCCAAATAATATTTTTCCTGAGATTTTATATTATAATTTGACAAATTACTTAAATCCACAATTTTGAGATAAACTTGAACAATAAATTTCGTTTTAAAAACAGCAAGTTTTAAGCATTGCACTGGGAGAATATATTCCAATTGAAAAAGTACATGTAACTTTTTTATAGTTTTATATTTTTTTCTCATATCTTATACTTTAAATTAAGGGAGAATTATGCTCAAGTCCTCTGAAATTTGTTACTTAATCACTCAAATCCCCTGACATTTAAAATATTACACACAAACCCCCTGAAGTTTGTACGCGTGTAACACTTAGACCCCTGTTGTAAATATATCCGTTAATAAATTACATTTAAACTCTTTGTGGGTATATAATATTTAGACCCTTTAAGTTTAAAATATTATACTTAGATCAAAAATACTTCAATCAAATATAAAATATAAAATATTTTAAATTTTATAACTAAAATTCATATTCTATTTTATCATTTATTGAAATATAATTTTAAAAAAATTATTTAAAAAAAACGTAATTAGTATACAATTATATTATCTATTAGAATAAAACTAAAAAATCAAATAATTGGTCTAAATCATTCATAACAAAACATGAATGTTACATCCAAAATTTATGTTCTTTTATTTCATTTATTGAAAAAAAATCAAAAATAAAAATTTATTTTTAAAAAAAAAACATAGTTAGTATATATTTATACTGTCTATCAGAACAAAACTAAAAAATTAAATAATGAATCAAACTATAATAGACACAATATCTTTTAAATTTAATTGAAGTAGTTTTGTATTTTAATTTGGTCATTTAAACAACTAAATTAAATTTTAATAGACAATATAATTGTATACTAATTACAATTTTTTTTTAAAAAATTGAATTTTTATTTTTAATTTTATTTCAATAAATGATATTATAGAATATGAATTTTGGTTGTAAAATTTAAAATAATTTAAATTTTATATTTGATTGAAGTATTTTTAGTTTAAGTAAAATATTTTAAACTTAAAGAGTCAAAGTATTATATACTCACAAATTTTAGGGGTTTAAATATAATTTATTAACGGATATATTTATAATACGGATCTAAGTGTTATGCACGTACAACTTTAGGGGTCTGTATGTAATATTTCAAATATCAGGGAGTCTGAGTGATTAAGTGACAAATTTCAAGGAGTTTAAATGTAATTCTCCCCTAAATTAATTGAAAAAGAAGAATGTTAGTAAAGTTAAATGTTTTTCAGAATTTAGTAGAAAAGATGTCCCGTGCAAAACATATCTTTTCCTTGATTAAAAAATTAAAATATAATTCATAATATATGCCATTAGATCTCGATGATTTGAATTGTTTTTATACTTTATGTTGTAAATTGTATCTTATGTTATAAAATGTTAAGCATGATGTGTAAGTGGATATAAGTATGTATCATGACGATTACTAGTAATGCATAACATGCGATACACGTAAAACATTTCTTATTATAATTTGAGAAATGACTGTTATAGAATTAACCTAGAACATTCTCATAAGCAATTATTTTTCACCCCCATTGAACATATTTAGAGTGATTCACAGAACTTGATAAACAAAGATAAGAAAATTATTTCTATGCTTACAGTCTGTGTTAAATCTCTCCCTCGCTAAATGATACCATCTAAGAAATAGTTTTAGAGTACAACCCTGAGCAAGCATGCTCACTTTGTATATGATTTGTGTGTTTCATGTTTATGTGAAACCCAAGAGTTTCTTGTAAATAGAAGAGTGATAGGGAGGCTTCAATAGCAGAAACACTCTCTTAGTGTTACATTGGCGCTAAATAGTGTTGTAAATTGGTGGGACTCTAGGCAGTTAAGCAGTCCCAATTTGACATGCGGAAGAATGTAGTTGTTATGAAGCTTAAAAGGTGCCGAGAAATAATGGCCCGGGAGAGCCGAGTACACATATTGATACCAACATTTAAAGTGATTTGATAGCTCATTGATGGCTACGTGGGTGACTGAAACAAGGTTATTAATGAACTCTAGATTCTCGAGACTCTAACCTGCAAATTATGATTGTCAAACATTAATGGCTATTACACCGAGTACATCTCCATGGTGTGCACCAAGATACTGTTCTCTGAGCATTAAACGCTCAGGAATAAATATCAAGCGCTGATCAAAGCAATTGGAGTGCCCGGTGATAGCCATTAGTACTCGGCATTGCCCCGAGCATGTGTTCCTATCACTCATGCATTAAAGATACCAAGATTTGAGTGGAGAACACTCATTGCACCTAGGTAAGAGTGTCAGACATTAAATGTTGAGATGAGACTTGAAGTCTTTGCACTCATTGTTAACCTAGGTATAAATACTCTTCAGAAAAATGAACAAAAGTACGCAACACAAGATTGAGATAGAAAATATACTGTGTTCTAGCCTCCAATCTTATACTGACTTAAGTTTCGCAGGAGATAAGTCGAATATTCACTTAACTCTTTTCCTGACCTTGTGATCGTTACAAGTTCACCATACAAGCGATCGCCGTCTCAATCTCTAAGAATTCTCCCGTGCATAAATAATCTTAGTATAGTTATTAAAAGGAAAGAAGATGAGGTGTCTCCTATTTGTTGATCAATATCATTTCCTCGTGGGTTTTAGTAAAATCAGAACCGAAATAGAGAGGAGAACAAAAACACAGTAATACAATTATCGATCATAAAAGTGATTGGTTGACAAAAATATATTTATGCAATTGTTAGAGGATAAAAGAGAAAATTAAAAATTTAATTGGTTAGTGTGCTTTTATAAGTAGTCTTAATGCTTAATATTTTTTTAAAACAAAATTTACTATTCAAGTTTATCTAAAAATGGTGGATTTAAGTAATTTGTCAAAATATCGTATAAAAGCTCAAGCCTACGGGCTATTAGTAGCCGTTTCTAGCTGTTGTTCCTCTTCCAGGGGCAGGTTCTTACGCGTTACTCACCCATCCGCCACTGAAAACACCACTTCACGTCCGACTTGTGTGATAATCATTCTCTTTATTTTGCTATAAAAATTAAGAGTAACGATAGATTGACCAAATTTTGAGATCAAATTTAGAACTTAAATGACATGGTAGTTGATTATTTGAAATTTTTATTGGAATCTAAATGACATGACACCAATCAAAAAAACCAAGTCAACTGTTATGTCATTTGAGCTCTAAATTTAGTCATAAAATTTGGTAACTCTAGCATTACTGAAAAATTAAAGTTAATTTGAATCTAGTAGAAAAAAAAAACATACCATTAATGTTTGTAGGAGACAATTAATAACTTAGTCACAAAAATGACTAAATTTATAAAAGAAGAATGTTACTAAAATTATATATATTTCGTAATTATAGTAGGATACATAATTTAATTATTTTAATAGAAATTAATGAATTTTTTGTAACGGAAAAAATTGGGAGGGGCGGATTATTTTCTTTTTATTTTTTTCAATTTCTGGGCAAAAATCGTAGAGATAATATCACTCGCTTAACTTAAGCTTGAAGCTGTGACACGCGTCGGAGTCCTAATTGACCGCTCGCTCTCTCTCTCTCTCATCCCTTTCGCTCTCTATATTCACGCATCGAAGGGGCTATTCCTGTTGCGTAATACCTTTTGCATTTCTAGGGTCTCAGACATCAGTCTTCGCAATTATGGGAGGCGGAGGAGTGATGAGAGCGGCAGCCAAGGTTGCCGGAGTAGGAGTAGCGAAATGCGGCTTGCGAAGCGCTTCGGCGGAGAATCCGGTCTCTGCCGCCGCTCGCAAGGCCACTCGTCCCGTCTCGGCGATTGTTCCTTCATCGGAAGAGGTGAATCCGAGCGTGTTGGTGGTTTCGCACAGCGGGAAGATTGATGACGTGATTCAGAGGCCGTGTTGCGAACTCAACGATTGGGAATTAACCGGCGGTCATGAGGAACGTATCATTGAGGCCGATGATCCGATGCCGAGGCTTGTTTTTGGTGACGCTCCGACTCTTCAGGAAGCCAAGGAGGCAACTTCTGAACTCAAATACGCTATTGAGAAGTATACACTTGAATTTTCTGAAAATTGATTGAATTTATGCACGAATTAGTATTCATGATAATCTTCTGTATGTACTTTACTCTCATTTTTATTTTATCCTATTGTCATCTCGATTTTCTGTTATAGTGTGCAGTTTGTATCGACTGCTTTGTGTATTGCTTATATTTAATTATTACTTTTGACAAAATCCTTGCTCACTTTCTGCTTCTCTTGCTTAAATTTGGCTCTTGAATGTTCAAGAATAGACGTTATGTAGGGGCTGAGCCGAACAGACTAGAAATGCGTAGACTTGTCAGCGGCAGAGCTTAGGTGGGGTTGGGATTTTGCAATAACTGGTTGATTAGAGATGGTTAACCAGAACTATCCGACAGTATCTATATGTTTGTGTTTGCTTACGTTTGCCTTTTTTCAGCATGAAAACTATAAAATGTAACTACGGTTTCAATACAAAATTATCAAGTTGGAAAGCTAGGTTGGTCGAATTTACATAGAGTTAGCCTAGATGATTTGAGGGGGTAAACAAGGTAAAGTGACTTCTTTTGCACCTTTACCATGTAAACTCAGGAAAGCTTTACGAAGTTTACTAAACAAGCTAGAAACTTGACTTTGAGTAAAAACGTATATTCAAAAAAATAAAAAACACTTTGCCTCTTTCAAAATTTACTATTGAGCATGGAAACTATAAAATGTAACTACGGTCTTGATACAAAATTATCAAGTTGGAAAGCTAGGTAGGTCGAATTTATGCAGAGTTAGCTTGGATCATAAATTTCGCAATTGTTCCACATTTGGGTCACTTCTTGTGGCTTCTGTTTTTTTTTCTTTGTTTTCATTATTTTTTTAGTTTTGTGTGTATGCATTTTTTTTATATTTTTTTTTTGTTGGGGGGGGGGGGTTGAAGTAATTTTGATGATGAACAGTGGATATGACTTGCTTTGAAATGTAATTTTGCAAGAAGATTATTATATATGCATGCTACGATTGAAAATTCTTTATTGTTGCAGTGTTTTGATATACATTAGTTATTTTTGGCTGAATCTTCTAGGGTATATCTGTTCCCACCCAATTTTGCTGGTCAGGACTCTTGCTTCCTACCGCCTTCAAATTCAGAAGCATTGGAGACCAAAGTATGTGTTAACAGTGAAACTACCTTGGTGCCAAAACATGCTTTGAAGGCATTTAAGTTTCTCAGCGAAAGCACTGCTGCTCAGGTTCTGAGTTCAACTACTTTTGTTTTTAATCTGGACTTTAATGTTTGTAGGCGAATCTTTATGTTGTGGAAGAATGATTAAAGAATAGGATACATAAAAATGATTTGAGAACTGGAGAATTTGGGTGGTGTTTGGTTTGTGTTTTGAAAATAGTTTTTGTTCTCAAAACACAATTTTTTTAGATGCTGTTTGGACAACAATTTTCAAAAAAAGTGGGAATTGAGAACAAAAAATGGAAAACAAGTAAACTTGTTTTGGAGACAAAATAAGGGAAAAAGGAAAACACGGAGAACAAGTTTGGCTCATTAATGAGGTCTCCCCTTCAAACCCCCTTATAAGGAAAAGATATCCTACTATAAAAAAGTTTTTTTTTTTTTTCCTTTCTCTCTCCCTGACTTCCTCTCTCTCCACTTTGATTCCAACCCAAACGACGAATAACACCTCCGACGATTGCAAGGCTTATATGCTGGCGATTGGAGGTCATCTTTTTCGGCGACTGGAGGTCATCTTCTTTAGCGGCATCAAGACGGCATCTCAGAACTTCATTTTTTTTACAGATCTGATATCTCTGTGTTAAATCCAAACATATTTGTGTTAGATCCGGCGACTTCTAGGGGTTTTACTTCAGGTCTCGCTTTGATTATGGTTTTTCGATTTTGGGTTTGATGTGGCTTATGGGTTTGATATGGCTTATGGGTTTCTTGTTTTCTTTGTGTTGTGATTTTCTTCCTTTTTTTTTTGTTTTTTTTTTGTATTTTCTTCGTTACTTCAGATTTGTGATTTTCTTTTTTTTTTTTGCATTTTATCAAACTTAATATATCGAATTTTTTTTATAAAATAGTTGATCCAAACAGATTTTATTATTTTCTGTTCTGTAGAACTATTTTTAGAATTATATAATCAAACAAGTTTTGCGGTACAAAAATTTCAAAATACACTTTTTTAAAATTCTTCTTAAAAACATGTTTTCGAATACTATTTTCTGAGATGCAATCCAAACACGCCCTTGGATTCTGACTTTCACGAATGGTGTTGCTGCTATTTATATGAGGGCATCACATTGCATTTCACTCTTTTCTAAGTTGTAAGCTGCCTATGAGCATTTTAATTCTGCGTAGTAAACCTTGGGAGAGAATGAAAAGGATGTTTAGCTAATGTGTCCTTTTCCCAAATATGCAGAAATATATCAGTTTATGACACTTTGTAAAGAGAAATTCCTCCATTGGAGATGTAGTAGGTAATTTTATTGCAGAGTTTTGAGAATGGGAAAGACATTGATGTCATGTTTACTTCTGGAACTCTTTCCATTCTAGTTGATGTTGTCAGGTGTTAAAATGCTGGTTCACATTTTTTTGACTGACATAATGCTTTATTGGAGCCTTTATATTCGTTCCGTGTCTCGTGTTTTTAGCTTCCTTTTTTATTGCGCTATTCTATGTTTTTTTTATTATTTTTTGGGGTTGGGGCTGTTTGTTCCGCAATGGGATGATAAATAGAACTGACTATTATATTTATTTGGGAATTTTGGTATCTGAATCTGGTTTTGTGCTAGACTGTTGTTGCTTCAATTGCTTCTGACCAAAATGTATGGAATGCTGTGCTGCAAAATAAGGCGCTACTGGAATTCATCCAGTCACATAAAACTGGTAAGAATTGTACCCATATCTTGGCCACTTTAGCCATTTTTTTTTTTTTTTGGTGTTAAGACACTCGTTGTCATCTGTTGACCGATGCTTCCTTCTCAGATATTGATCCTGGTGTAAAGGGATCTGTTGCTGAAGCGGATTTTCAAAATGAGCAGTCTCCCAAGAGCTTTGATGATCCTGGTGTAAAGGAATCTGTTGCTGAAGAGAATTTTCAAAATGAGCAGTCTCCCCAGAGCTTTGATGAGTCCTCTGATTTGAAGGAGTCTGCCTCTGGAAATGGGTTTATGGATTACCTGCAGAGCATTAGGCTCACAGTGGTGGATATGATGAGCAACTTATCTGATTATTTTCAGAGTTTCTTTGGTGGTTCAGCTGGGGAAAAACCATCTCCAAATGATGATGGAAGTGCCAGAACAACTTGCGTGGATGCAGCTATAGGAGCGTCCGTCATGGGATTAGTAGTCATGGTGATTATGGTTGTCGTGCTGAAGCGAGTGTAGAACTCATTTCTTGTCAACCTACACAAGAATTTGTCGAAGCTACAGATGTATGTAATCGAAGTTTGGTTGCACTGGTTTATTACTCTTGTTTCTGAATAAACATCTTTCGTATGGCTTATCAGTTGGTCTAATGAACTGTTAGCAAGTAAATGACTCATGAGAAGTTTCTTTGTACAGTTCGCCTTTCTTTCTGCTGATGCTAATGGAACTTACAATGAACCATATCATGAGACATTTTTGCTTCTGCCTGACTCGATCCCGCAAGGATTTAGGACCCTTTATGGGTCACTTCCCTCATTGTAGTGGGATGTACTGCCCCTCGGAGATACAGCATGTTGATTATGGTTGTTTATGTTTCCAAACTACTTCCGATGGATCAAATATCAAATGCATATAGGCGAATCCTGTCTCTAATGGTCTGACAAAAGATGTCGCAAATGGTTGTTGAAATTTCTAGTTTTATGAATAAACATTTATTTTTTGTGTTTTTTTTTGGGGGGGGAGGGAATTCTTGAATTGGATCTACGCAGACAAGGGCAAGGGTAACAGGAACCGAAGTTGAACTTAGACAAATTATAGACCCAGACTTAACAGATACATGTAATTTACGAGTGATTGTAAGTATTCCGGATTTACTTTCGCAAAAATGAGTCCAAAATGCCCTGTTTTGAAGATGTTTCCCATTACCGAAAACAAAATGGAACCAAATATAATTGTAGAAATAAAATGAAAAAAGAAAAAAGACAAATTGAATCACCACCTCAGTTCCAAAAAGACAAAAACCAGTGTTCACAAGCAAAATGCTTGGTGATTAGATTCATCAATCATTTTAATTTACATGCATTGTGTAACTGAAGCAAATTACATATTCAGCTTGATAATGCAAACTGTTTTCGCTTGTGGTGACAACTGCCTTTGAAATCAGCCACCAACTCAACTCTACGGCTTCAACACATCAAATCGGACAGTATACATATGAGTGCCAAAATAGGTGGTATTGTGTGATGAACCACAGCTAAAATTAGAATCACCATTCTACAAAATTGTATAGCCACTTGGAACTCTAATGAACTCCACGAGTTGGTCTGGAGGCACCGCACTTGACCACATTATTGTCAGGTTTGAAGATGATTATTCGAATTTGAAGTGTTGCTCCCATCAAACTTCACTGCTGATATATGCTATGTCCTCCTTTCCTATTTGCATCTTGCCTTTATCTCTTCTACCATTTGCTCGAGGCTGCTCCGGTTCCCCTCGCTGCAATCAAAACATACTGCCACTCAAAACGCCATAAAGAATATCAATGCAACACAGGTGCACATTTGCGCACACAAATGCATGCACAAAAAAAGAAATGAACAATTGTACTTGGAAGTGCCATACAGAGACGTGTCAGTTTAATTTGCCAGTAACAGAATTTAATGCTTACCTTCCTCAACACGAACGCCAGATACAAATAAGCTACTTCCCATTCATCTGGTGATAGTGTGCCTAAATTTTTACACGATAAAATAGAATAAGTACATCATTTAACATGAAAACCAAAGGCAAGACCATGAAATACATAGCAACCCCAAAATACAAGAAGCAAAAGCTATAGGTTCCACCACCAATATCAGAATCAAGGTTCTGAAACTTACTTTTGTCTTGGTTTCCATCACCCAATGCACCAAGCCTCCGCATGAGCTCAATAAATTCTGGCTTTTTTACGTATTCATGCACAAATACATGCGAGTTTTTCACGAAAACTAGCTCCAAATCATACTGCACATCTCAAACACAATCATAATGTTAGGAACAAGATATACAGCACCCCATGATAGAAAGGCACATGTGCATCTTCAAGTGTGATTGGGTAGTAATAGCATTCGCATGTCTTAAAAGCTCAAACACCAAGTCACGAAATAAATGAACTTCTATTTCAGTGACAGAGCATATAATGGCTCTCTACTTGGCTTTGTTTTCTATTTCTTATAGCTTTTCAAGATTTTACTTTCCGCTTCGTATATGATAGGGCTATGTTCTTGCCCTTTCTCAAGTAAGCAAAGGCATCCATTCTAAGAGGCAAAACTATACATCTTTTTTTCAAAGACATTCTAGCTTTTATCAGGTCAGCTGCTCACTTTTCTTGCCCCATCATTTCCTTTCTCCAAGGAAAAAAGAGGTGATGAAATAAGATAGAAGAAAATGACCTATAATGCAAGATTACATTTTGCAAATAAATTTGTACCTCTTCTGCCAGTGATTTGAAGACATGAAAGGGGACAATCCATTCAGGACAATCAACAGCATCCTGAAACAATAGGCTCATTAATCTCTATATTGTTGGCAGAACTACAACAAAACAGTAGCTTGGTGAAGGTAAAGGTTCCACTTTGCAGAAATACAATCAAAATCAGTGGAAAATAATGAACTAGATATACAACATGACCAGAAAAAATTCCAGCAAGAAATATTAATTTATTTTCTTTTGGTTAAAGAAATGAACCTGTAGCATTTATATAAACAAGAGAGAGAGAGAGTAGAAATATCTTACCAGCTTTGTAGCTGTATACCTATTATCCTGTAGTCTACTCAAAATTTTTACCCCAGGGCCATAACAAAAATGCATACATCGAGATGGATAAGAGGACAAACTTTTTGAAAAAAATCAGAGAAAAGGGACAAAAAATAGATAATAGCACCTCTAAGTGGAACTTGTACTTAATTCCAAAGGGGCTTGAAGACTTAAATTTCTGAACAAGACAAAAAAACTTCTACTGTCAGAACGGTTCCAGTAATACACTGCAGAGAGCAGTTTCTACAGAAATGTAGATGCAAGAAATGACAATTTAATTTACCTTCTCAGAAAATTCTTCATCAAAACGTATCCAGAAGACACTATTTCCAAAAGCCAATCCTTCAGCTGCATATTCTACCAAGAATCAGAAAATAGTATGCAAAGCAGTATGTAATGTGCATTGATTTTAAAGCTTACAAGCTAAAAGAGTGAAATACTGCGTTACATGAGCATATTATGTGGTCCAAGATATAAACAGGTCTTAAAGGTAAGACCATGTTTGTAACTAAATCAAATAACATTAACCAGTTTACAGAGGGAAAATCCAGAGTTTATTAATTGAAAATCATTTTCTGCAACACTTTGATCAATCATCAATGCATTATTTTGTTAAGAATTCGTGATAATCAGGGTTCCAAAAATCATTAATTCCTGAATTCCCCTTCCACCCTTGTACCAAAGGGTGAGCAAAAAGAGAAGCCAATTGCTATGCTATCTGATGTGATGAAAGATGGAACAACTCTTCCCAGGATCATCACCATGAGCAACCCTTTCTAGGAAGAGTCTTCTTATTCTTCTTTGATAAAAATATTCCATTAGTTGATAAGAAAAATTCAAAAAAGCAACAGACACCGCATCCTAGGAGGAGGGGGTTGGGGCATAAGAACCATAAAATATGTGAAGAGCACACAGAAATTCAAGTCAAAACTAAATATTGATGTCCAAACTATGTCATACCCAAGAAACTGTAGCCTGGAATTAGTCCAAGGTCCATGAAATACTGTTTGTTTAATCTTGAAAGTAAAACAACATGCAGAAGGCTACCCCCCAACAAAAAAAGAAATGACAATGAAATGAATTATTGGAAGGACTTCAGCTTTTTGAGACAAGAATAAAAATGATAGAAGAAGAAAGAAGCGTTATGAGTGACGATAGACTCAAAACTCTTTTATCTTTCACACGGAAAAAGTTAAAAAAATAAAAACCTTCTCTAAGCTTTTTGATGATAACATTGGCATCTGGCATTGTTCCAATGAAGATGCCTCCAGGACGAAGTAAGGCTGAAACATTGGCCAAGGCTCGCCGTGCACGTATCTCGGTAGACCACGAGTAATGCATAGCAAACTGCAGCAAATATACAAGTCTTGATAGTTTAAAACACACTTTAATGAAGCTTGAAGAGGAATAAATTATTTCTTGAATATTCGCTGGACAACTGAGAGTATGCGAAATTTCAGCACAGACAAAACATATAGCAACCCATCTCACAGAAGCAGTTGAACTGGCAAAAAAATTGAGAGAGATCCTTCCATAATTTTCTAAACTAAATAGCTGGATTTACCAAAAAAAGAAAAAAACAAATAAACAACAAACAAGATGTAATCTTTAGAAGAAATGGTCATCAAACAGTTTTCAGTCTAATTAAAAACAAGGCTGTAGCTCATTGGCTATTCAAGTAAAATAATTTGTAAATTGTAGTAATATTCCTTGCATCAACTAAGACAGAGACTGAAAATAATAACTAGAAGGCACAAATGACGAAGTATGTTGCCTTAGGCTAGATGCCGTAATACTGATACAATAATTGACATATGTCGCTTACTTTTGTCCTCCCAAATGCAAAGATAATGTCTCACCTGGCAACTACAAATATCAAAAGGTGCATCATCTTCTAAAACTTCATCCAATCGAACCTGCAATCCATCAAATGAGAACCAGCATTATTTGCAGTGATGTGTTGATGAAGAATTTACAATAATCACAGCAGCTCATAAAGGCTCTGGTTCGGTTGTTGATTAGTTACTCATTATGCAAATGAAGTGGCACTTGATTAACCAAGTGAGTTGGTGATAAAGTAGGATGGCAGACAGGGATTCCCCATTAGACGTGTCTTGAGTACAGCCAAAAAGAGAATTTCTCACATAAATACTGCTGTTACCTCAAAACAATCTCCACACATAAGTCGGGCAGGAAATGAGAACTTCTTACGACGCTGATGATGGTCTGCATCACCATTGTAGCGCGTACGACAGTCTTCTATCTGTATATAATTGTTGAAAATGATCAAAACAAGGATAATCGTAACAAGTGTGTGAAAGGCAGAAATACTTGGAACAAAATTCAGTTATCACTTATCAGGTAATGCTGTCCTGCATTACACTCTAAAAACTGCATGCTGAAACAAAAAATAGATTTCCAAAACATGTACATGCTTACACTAATGAAAACAAGAGAAGAAACATCAAATCTTCTCCAAAAATGAGAACTTACAAGGAAGTGGGTGATTTCACATCTAGGTTTCATCCAAAGCTAAAAGTTCTGTACCGTTTTCTTATCAAATGAAATGAACTATTATTGTGCTCCTATGGACATAGGCAAGGAAGCTGAACACAGAAACGACTGAAGACTATGAGGAATGATATGTCATTTAGTTGCAGAAGACTCTGCCCACCAAGATACAATCCTATAACCAAGGTAAGGCTAAGGCTTGAGAGGAGTATACCATAACAAGGCATACATGGACATACATACAAAACTACAGATTTTTGTCACTATGAATATTAATCTAAATCAAGATAATCGCTTCATATTATAATAATTATCTAATAAATGATCCTTTACATCCAAAATTTATGTTCATATTA